ACATCAGTTGTGTGACCTCAAAAATGCGCTTCTGGAAGAATGGTCACAAATTCACATAAACACACCCCTAAACCTTGTGGATAGCCTTTCCAGAAGAGTTGAAGCTGTTATAGCTGCAAAGGGTGGACCCACATCATATTGAACCCTATGGATTAGGAATGGGATGTCATGTACAGTAAATTCATATGTGAGTAAAGGCAGGTGAGCGAATACTTTTGGCAATATAGTGTACATAGAGATTACACATCGTTCAAAAAAGTCAATAAACCATTAAGGAAACAACGACAACAAAAACAAGAGTACATTCTCTCCAGCAGCCAATACCCAGACTAAGCAAAGATCAGACAAAAAAAAATCAAAACAAAAACAATATCCAAATCAAGGAACCACCAAAGAGAAAACCATATCCCTACCATCACTGTAAGAGCAAGCTACTATATATATAAACAGAGAGCAAATCCAACTCCCTGTTAATGATGTTACCTATTCAGGTAACTAAATAACTGCAAGCAAACAACCAAACTCAGAGACTACTAGGACTTCACACATGAATTAATATTTGAGTAAGTTATATTGAAATGCTGAAATGGACCATTTGACAAACAGAGCAAATTAGGAATATTCTTTGGAAGAAGAACAAATAATGGAAACAAGTCTCAGACACACACATACATACACACTCATCCTCCTAGGGATTATTCAAAAACTCACTTTAGAAAATGAACTGAGCTCTAAGAGGAAGATGGAGGGTCTCTAAATATGGTAAATTAGCTGATAACCCGGAGTTGTTCAGGTATTTATTTATAGGGGGGAAATATCCGGACCAAACGCAATTTCTAATGTTGGATTTTCCCCCTTACCAGAGGGAGCCGCCTTGTGGAGTACTGTCGTTACCATGGCAACTCCACTGCGCTGTACAGTAGAAGCCATTTGAAGGCACAACAGGCTGTATCGTAACAGAACACACATCCCAAGGGGTGTCTTACCCCCACAGTATTTGTTTCCAGAGAGTCAGTCATTTATGTACCAAGTTTGGTTGAAATTGCTCGAGGCGTTCCATTTTTATATATATAGATAAATAAATTGGATTTGCGTTCTCTCTCTCATTCCCCATCTCAATCTTTTCTCCTTCTGAAGAAAAAAAGAATTCTAATGATATAATTACATTGGAAGGGAACAAAAAAGCAAAAAAGCAGCAAAATTGGGTGAAGATGAGGCAAAGAGATGAACTCTTGTTTAGGTGTCACAAAAGGCTTAAAATTCACAAAGTAACAGACCTTCAGATGGTTCAGGATAATTTTCAAAGGCATTGGTGCTTTGCCACAATCTCTGCAGCCATTTTCACTTCTTGATTATGTCTTTATTTTCAACTGTTTTAATATATTTTTCAATGAATAGCCAGAAACGTCTCCAGGGACATCAGCTAATTAATAAATTGGAAACTTCCTGAGCTTTATTGCTGAGGTTCTGCATACTTGTTGAGGCTAAGCCTGTGCATGATGCTCCAGGTGGCTCAAATGCTGTCTTCTACAGCTTTCCCTTTATGGTTAAGTGTGCAATAGGGGGACGGATGGACGGACAGGTGGGGGGGGACAGATACTATCAGAAAAAGTTGTCCCCTAAAACAGATAATACTCATTCCTCTATTTACTGGTAATTAATCTTTAAAAAAATCATCTCAAGTTAATATGATAATACAAATTAAATTAAAATAATTGATACTTAATGTGAAATGTTAAGGAAATATGATGACCAATTTTGCTCAAAATTAATGCTACATAAAAAAAACCCTGCAGTTTATGAATCTAGAAAAGCCACAGATCTAGTGCATCCATAGCTCTACTCCAGATTCTGCTCAAATTATTGGGTCAGTTCACTAATGGAAGCAGGCAGTCCAAGTGCATCAGGATATCTATAGATATTTTTTTATCTACTTTCAACAATAATTCATATTTTTAGCCATAGTTTTGGCAAAATTAAGTCATTTTGCCATCACCCCCCCAAGGGATTATCTCTCTCTCTCTCTCTCTCTCACACACACACACACACAAAATATCCTACAGAATAACAAGTATCAAAGCTGACAAAAATATTGACATGGCTTACCTATAAATTTCATAAACAAACAAATAAACAAACAAACAATGCTAAACTATGTTTTCTCACTAAGACACAAAATAATAACATATCATGGTAAACAATATGTCGTTATGAATCACGATGCTGGTTACATGCAACCCAGTAAAACAAACCATGAGAAAGAAAGGAAGGAAGGAAGGAAGGAAGGAAGGAAAGAAGGAAAGTGAGAGAAAGAAAGATAGATGAAAGATAGATTCTTGTTCTTAGATATTTAGTAATAACAGAATAAATGCAGTGTCAGAGACAGAATGCTCAAGTGGAAAACGTAGCCTCCAGGATATCGGCTGATTGAATCAGTAATCTCAGCTTCAACTAACTTTCCTCTCAATAGGAACATACATATTATGCTTTAATAAGACCAAGTATTGATATGCGAAGATTATTTTAGCACATATCACCTTTTATTTCAGTGGGCCATGCTGCAATATCCAGGAAGGTTTGGTTAACTACAGTTTTCCGTTACATTTCAAAGTTTGGAATGCATCAAGATCTTAAAACAAACTCAAATCAAATTTGAAAATCAAACATTTCAAATTTCATTAAGAATCCTTTTATCTTGCAATTCCTCAGCTGTGACTCAGTACAAAGTCTTCATTACTTAATGTGCATGTACCACAACATGCCAAGAAAAGGAACTGCATGAATTGTACCAGGGAAATATCTGTATTTGCCTGAATCATGAAGAGATATCACAGGTGTGTACAGGTTATCAATAAATAACCCCTCAAGTTTAGGTTTACCCTGTGTGTGTGTGTGTGTATGCTTCTCCTGGAAGCACGAAGCCTGAAGATGACGAATGAGACTTTGTCGAAACGTCGCCAAGACACCTCCAATTTTACGTGGGAGAAAACACGAATAACCAAAGACATATATATATATATATATATATATATATATATATATATATGTGTGTGTGTGTGTGTGTGTGTGTGTGTAAAATGCAAAAATGCATCTACAAATTATTTTTACTATAAACACGTTTCATTTTGTGCTTACTTAATGTATAAATTATTCACATTCAAGTAACGTCTTTCACAGTCTATGAATGATAGCCAATTCTTTTCCAAAACCACAATGTTGCTATTCCAAAGTTTTAAAGCAATATTAAAAATGATCTGACTTATGGAACCAGGTCATGCTATTCAATTAGAATGAAGATTAAAAATCAGGTTTATTTTGAAATTAGAAGAGGGCAATGTTGATATGAATGTCATAAAGTACATATAATATGTGCTTTCTTAAAACATGCATGAAAAGCCGACATAAAAGGTACAATCCACAAGACAGCAAATTCGGCTGCAGCGAAGCAAAAACCATGTATTATATATAAACTTTAATTATTTAGTATTTTACTACTTCACCTCAAACTGATGACAGTTAGGTATAGTATGAAGCATAGTATATTTCATGAAGCATGAAAACACAATGCTTCTGTATTTTTTTTAAGATTAAAACTTTTAATTTTAAAGAACTTACTGTCCAAAACTTTATGAAATACTGAAGAACCGTAGCAGCAACAAACAGACAATACAGGAGGGAATAAAATAAAAAGAGGAGAAAAAACTTGTAGTTGGAAAATCCCACGCAGTTATTCACCCTGGAAAAGGACAAAGAAATAGCCATTTTTTCCCTTCTACAGAAGAGTTAAACAAATTTCTGCAGCCATGTTATAGATGGGTTCAAAAGCAGTTGCTAATGGGATTGCCTGTAACCTCAGAACAAGACTCTAAAGTATCACAGTCAGTTGCTTTTTCCTAGAAAGCAAACTTAAAGGCGTTGCTGTTTGTTACCCTTCCAAAATATTTTCTAGTTCTTTGGCTTGTTTTTAACCTTTCGTGGGGGTGGGGTGAGGAAAAGAAGAAGGCATTAGATTCATTTCTGAACAAAGAACTAGGGACACCTATAAACCTATCTGGGATTTAAGACTATTGATGAAGATGGTAGAAAAGACTGATATTAATGTTTATTTTATTTAAAAAAATCTTAAAATAAGAATCAGATTGGACTCTTAGGCTCTTTGACTCTACTAAAAGCATAAAAGTTTGCATTGCAGCACATTTTATTTATTTATTTTAATTTATATAGCTTCCCACCTCATGGTAATGACTCAGGGCAGCTAACCATAAAAAACACAACAGTAACAACAAGGTAACAAAAAATACCTAACTGACAGCTGACTTAAAACCACAAACCACCATCAGAGTAGCCATGTCACAGGGTCTGACATACAATACTAAAATAAAAGTGTCTTTGTGTATATACAAAATTTACTATAATTCAATATATAAAGTATATTATATACATATAAACATTCTTAAGGGGATACTTGTTTAATGTCCATCACAATAAAGGGGTTAAAGGCCAAAAATGCCCCTAGGACTTGGGGATCCTCATCTTTCTTCTAGTCAGTGTATAACAATTAAAAGCAGAACATTAATATGTATTTATCAAATATCGCTAGCAATGTTACCATTTAACCTTGCTCTTAATAAAGCTTCCATTAATTTAATGAGTCACGATTGTCTAAGACCATTTACAAACTAGAGATTTAAAGCATCTTCAGAGAATTACTCAACTATTCAGCTGTCTCTGAAGCATTATAAAGCCTCTCTTGTTACTATTATTTTGACAAAGTTGTAGTTGATGATTCTAGAATGTGCTATTTACTGCTGGTGAGAAAATAACCTAAGGTTCTTATTGTAAGAAAATAAAAATAAACCTAACTTAAATTTAGACTTTGTTTGTAGTTCACTCTTTAAATTTCCACCTAATTATTCTTACTCTTTACTTATTTTGTGCATACCCAATAATAAAAGAGCTTACTTATTGGTTTTGGTACAAAAGCAAGAAGGAATAAAAAAAAAACATACCAAGGACAATGATGATCCATTTTCAGTACACATCTAAAATAAAAGAAGCCATCCGAATCAATGCAAAGGTGATAAATGAATATTATTATGCTTTTTTCAATAAATATATCTAATATCAAACTTTCAAACTTTTTTTCCCCAGCACTTTAACATCTTGGAAACCACTGATCACTCCACCTCTGTACCCAGATTGTTTAAAGCAGTTAAGAAGAAGCAAAATATTACAAAGTAGGTTCATGCAGTTTTCCTATCTAGTTTCATTCACAATAAAATACAATCAAGAAAATCAGAACACAGTTGTAACTTGAGAAAAAAAAAGGAGAGGCATGCTTAGAACCCCCTTTTCACTCAATCCATTTTACAATAGGGAGAAGAAATGAACAGAGGAGTGCATAATGTGTACATATTCTCTTGCATCAGAAGTGGGTTCCTACCAGTTCGCACTTATTCGGTAGAACCGGTTTGTTAAATCTACCGAACCAGTTAGAAGAGGTTCCACATAGTTACAATTTTTCTACGACTATCTTTCATTTTCAAGTTCCTGGAAGGATTTTTTTCCCCATGCATCTGGTGTTTACTACCTTTAGCATTAATTCAAATTAAAACACTAATTGTCTGGGGAAAATGCTGTTACTACCAAGCATCACACTCAGCTTCTCGAGACTGCATCCTTTCAAAGCAGATTAATGGAGCACAACAGCATTAATGATATACTGAATGCATTCATTTTCAGCTGTGGGTTGTAATACTGACACAGGAATTTCAAAGGTTGTGAGAAGGAGTACTATGGGCTGTACACTGCCAAGAAAGCAGGATAGTGGAGTCAATGCCGTAGAGTCCTATCTTACTTCTGTCACAGATTTGGTTCAGAACCTCTTATAGTTACAAACAAAACTTTCCACTCTTGACACGACCGAATGAACCCACTGTTTTCTGCAAAAGCCCACTCCCCATTAGCTCCTCGTTTGTTTCCTATGGGAGGGGCCAATCACCTCCAAGGTGTGGCTTTACTCTTAAGTCGACTCTGCTTTCTTAATTGTTTTTGTCTTCTGGCAGCTCTGCGCATGCGCAGAGTGCCTCACTGCTGTCTAGCTCCCTCTCTGCCTCTGACGCAGAGCCCTCGTCTGAGCTTTCCTCAGCCCTCAGGACTGGCCCATGTTCCTCCCCAACCTCCTCATTGTCCAGCTCTGCTGCCAGCTCTGCTTATATATATATATATATATATATTTTTTTTTAAAGTCTCAACCCCTGGTATGGCCAAATATGGGAGGAAGTTCACTGCTTCCATTCTTTGTCCATCGGCTCATCATAAGAGACCATCCAGACAGAAACCCAATATTTTTACTGTTGCCTTTGTTACAGCACAAATACCACACACACACACACACACACGATATGGGAAAATGCAATAGCAATTAGACATATACCGCTTCACAGTGCTTTTACAGCCCTCTCTAAGCAGTTTACAAAGTCAACATATTGCCTAAAACAATCTGCGTCCTCATTTTACCAGCCTCGGAAGAATGGCAGGTTGAGTCAACCTTGAGCTGGTGGGACTTGAACTGCCAAACTGCTGGCAATCAGTTTATCATAAAATAAAACCACAATAAAATTACAATAATATGGGGCCATAGAATTGCAATGGGCTAGACTTTATAATTCGATATCTAAGGAAACTAAGGAAACTGCTTCTGGTGTATCTGAGATGAAAGCACCATCAGGAAAATTCATGAGTATCTGAGCAATCAATGTTTCTTTGCCATGGCAACCCTGACATATACCAGGCTGTGATTTTTATTGCAGTCACAGCATAATATAACCAATGTAAACATAATTTGACTGCAATTCCGGGTAACCATGGCTCCCAATGCTTGCTTGGGAATGATAAGCAAGGCATCTTGGCATGGAAAGCATGATAAACAAATATTCAGATTCTTCAGTGAGTTAATCTGTTCTGCTCACAGAAAGATCCAAATGAATGTCAGCGAGCAGTGCACCAGGATTGCTGTTGCCAAGTAATGCGGTTGTAAAATGCTACATCATGTGTGACTGCATTGCTTAAAGACAGAAACCAAGGAACTCCCAGTTGTCCTCATAACCCCAAAGACCTGTGGGGCATAAAGCAGGAGGAGCCCCAGGTAGGGAGTGTAGGAATGAGTCTTGAGAGGCCTGGTGCAGGCGACACATAAGTTGGGAGAGGGAGTACTGCAAAGGCCAGGGAAGGAGGATGTGAGATGCATACAAGTGCAGAGGGGTCAGGAAGCAAGATGGTATGCAAGAAGTAGGGGACTTATCAGAGCAACTGTGCAACCTTCCCTGCTGGCAATCCTCATTGATTTTGCTTGGGATAAGCTGGCAGGGAAGGCCTCAAATGGTCACACCATGACTGGGATGTTACTACAAAAAGCATCCTTAAAGCATCCTTAAACATAAAGTGCTGGTTATCAATCACTCAGATTGCAATTGCCATGATTGTGAGGGTGCTACAATGCCGGAGTTTTGAGGATTAATTGTAAATACTACTCATTCAGCATTGTTGCAACTTTGAAGACATGCTGAAGAAGTGGTCAGTAAGCGAGGACTACCTGTATGTGGAAAAGGAACTCTGTGATTTCAGGTCTGAAGATACGTTTGAAAACAAACTCATCAATCCAAACTAGAATCAGTATATACTCACAGGTCACACGCAGAACAATGATGACATCGATCAGGTTTTATTAGCTGGCATCTATCGCAGTATCTAATAGCTAAATGGAAGATTTCAAAGTCAAGATATGAAATGCGAAACTTTAGAATCAGGACTTTAAAACTTACCTACTTCTCAGAACAGAATCTAGAAGAATTCAAAATGTAAATAGGGCAGTCATATTTCAAAGATAAATGGGTAGGGAGTAATGTGAGAACTCTCCAATAAAATCTATATGGTTTTATTGGCCACCCATCACCAGTACAGAGGTGCGAAAATAAAAGGAAAGAAAACTATCTGTATAACTATTTACGGAAAGGTGAAACATGAACACAATCTAAACCAATGGTCCCCAACTTTTTTGGCTCCATGGACTGGCAGTGGTAACGGCAGCAGGGGAAGGGGGGGGGAAATGGTCTTGTGCATGCAACCAAATCCCGCTCATATGCAAATAAAGCTTTGCATGCTTGTCTGCCGCTGGCCCAGTACTGGACTGCAGCCCAGGAGTGATGGATTCCTGATCTAAATAATATCTGAAACAGTTCTTAATTTTGAGTCTCCCCCGCCCCCTTTTATTGCCATATACCTTCCAGAGTCACAAAGAAATGACTCTGAGAGGGGCACCCGATAGATTTTATAAACAAACAAATACCCGGAACTTTGAGTTAACCACATGGAGTCTCTATGTGCGAATTGAAAACTTTCAAAATGAAAGTATCATTTCTTTCACATCCTAAACAGGGAGATACTACCATCCTTTTTCACAAAGTACCAAAAATATATTTGCAAATAATGGATCCCCGGTACATTGTGAACCTGGATAAATGCTATAAATGCAGCTAGCAGAGGGGTTGTGCAACTCAGCCTGGCTAAGGAACATTTTAGCAACGTTCACGTGATACAGATATTATTATTATTATATTATTATTATTATTATTATTATACAATTGTATCACAGCGGCCAGTTGTTTCGCCGAATTTGGCAATGGTTACTAGTCGGATTATTATTATTATTATTATTATTATTATTATTATTATTATTATTATTATTATTATTATACAATTGTAT